GCATCAGAGGAGCCGGAAAGCTGACGTTTCAGGCCTAGACCCTGATTTCTGAAGAAGGGTCTAGGCCCGAAACGTCAGCTTTCCTGCTTCTCTGATGCTGCTTGGCCTGCTGTGTTCATCCAGCTCTACACCTTGTTATCTCAGATTCTCCAGTTCCTACTATCTCTAAAAATCTGCACATATGGCTTTCAAATACCATTGTTTTGTTGCCCCGATGTTATAAACGTACAGTTCAATTGCAACAGTTACTCCTTATGTCATTCATATGTTACAAATAGATGAGATTTAACACGAACAGTTTGTTTTGTCCCTTCTGATTTTGGATGTTAAAAACATTTTTAAGAGTTGCACAGTTTGCCCAGCATACAAGTCACATTTGCTACATACATGGTCATTGAAGACCACTGTCTGAAAAACAGTAAGAAGCCTGAGATTTCTAAACAAAAAGGGCCTGGTGCTCTTAAGACCAATAGAAAAGTGCAGGAGTTGGGAGCCTTTAGAAGGAAGCAGCAGACAGCAGAATTAAAGAGTCAAAATTTCATAAGTCAACAGTATTATGACTCTAAAATGGAGGGATTGGGAAGTAAACAGTAATCCAGTGCTAGAGAAGCATAGGATGGTTGGAGACAGTAAGAACTGCAGATGCTGGAAGTTAGAGTCAATAAATGTGGAGCTGGAAAAAACACAGCAGGTCAGACAGCATCTGAGGAGCAGGGAAGTCAACGTTTCAGGCCGAAACCCTTCGTCAAGACTGAGGAGGGGCGGGGTGTGGGAGAAAGGATAGATGGGATGGAGATAGATGAATGCAGGTAGGGAGTATTGTGGTTGGTCAGTAGGAAAATGGAGAGGTTGGGGGTGGAGAGATTTTGAAGCTGGTGAAGTCAATATTCAGGCCATTGGGCTGTCAGCTCCCAAGGTGAAATATCAGGTGTTGTTCCTCCAGTTTGCATTGAGGAAGCTAAGGATGGACATGCCTCTGGGAGGGGGTGATAAAGCGGATGGAAACCGGTTGGTTGGTGTGTACAGAGCGCAGGCACTCCGCAAACCGGTCCCCGAGACTGCGTTTGTGGTCTCCTTGATATAGAGGAGACTACCACATCGGGAGTAACAGACACAGTAGATGAGGTTTGATGAAGAGCAAGTGAATCTCTGCTGGATTTAACAGGATTGTTTGGGGCCTTGGATGGAGGGGAGAGGGGAGGTGTAGGGGCAGGTGTAGCATCTCCTGCAGTTGCAGGGAAAGGTATTGGGTGTATGATGGAGGGGTTAGTGGGGAATGTGGACCTGACGAGGGAGTCAGAGTGAACCTCTGAAAAGTGGACAGGGAGGTCAGGGGAATATCTTTTTGGTGGTGGCGTCTGTTTCTAGGTGGTGGAAATGTTGGAGGATGATGATGCGTTGTATTTGAAGGTTGGTGGGGCGGTATGTGAGGACTAAGGGGACTCTATCCTTATTGTTGTTGGAGTGGAGGGGATTGGAGGGCAGAAGCATGGGAAATGGGGGGGGGCGGGTGCGGTGGGGAGATGCGGTTGAGGGCATCCTTAAAAACAGAGGGGAAACTATGGTCCCTAATGTAGGAGGATATCTGGGAAGTCCTAGAGTAGAACACCTCTGGAGCAGATGGGATAGCATTTTTACAGGAGGGTGGGTGAGAGGAGGCGGAGTCGAGGTAACAAAGTCAGTGGGTTTGAAATAGACATCAGTGGTGAGTCGGTTAATCAGAAACAGAAATGGAGAGGTCCAGGAAGGGGAGGGAGGTGTTAGAAATGGTCCAGGTAAATTTCAGTGCGCGGTAGAAGGTGTTGGCGAAGTAGATGAACTGGTCAAGCTCCTCACACGAGCACGAGGCAGCACCGACACAGTCAATGTAGCAGAAACAGAGGGGAGGGATAATGCCAGTGTAGTTGAAGAGGGAGTGTTCCACGAATCCTACAAAGAGGCAGGCACAGCTCAGACCCACACGGGTGCCTATGGCCACCTGTTTGGTTTGAATGAAGTGGGAGGATATGATTGTAGAGAAATTAGAAGATGAGAATACTGGTCAGTTTGCTGGGACACGAGTGCCAGTGAAGCTTGATAAGAATCATTTACAGGACATAATATAGGAGGCCATTCAGGTTACGAGTTTTTGAATTTCAAGTTTGTGAAGGTCCAAAAGGTGATGAATGTGTAGATTAAGGACTCTGCAACAATGACAATGCTCAGCAGCTGACATCAGTCTTGCCAACTGAATTGACAAGGAGCAAGAATTTCAGATTGTAAAAACATGCTGAAGTTGCATACCTCTAGATCTAGCATGTAAGAGCAACTGGAAAGGTTGACAAGTTGAGGCTAGAGACATGAGCATGACAGGGACAAAAGTGTTTCAGTTTGTTGTTGTTGTGGAGTTTAAAAAAAGGATATTTTGACTCTTCTATATTTTTATATCAAATGATATGGGGTAAAATCAGCAACAGTTAAAGAGTTGCTGATGGAACAATAAAAATAAAAGTATTAGCATTCATACAGAAGTGAACCATACCCTTGTAGATGTTGCTCCAGGGTAACATATTAAGAAAGGACTAACATGCCACCAGAAAAGTATCATGCTCACCTAAAAGCATTTGAGGAGACTGTGCACCTTGGAAAAGATATTAGGAATCATAAGAAGGTAGTACCACTGAGCTGACAATGAAGGGTTGGTGAAGGAGACCAAAATGGTCATTAGTCCTAGAAGTGGCGAGAGAAGAAAGCGGAACACACGGGCCACTGTCATAGCCATATTCAGAGTTCTAGAACAGGCTGAAAATTGGATTGAAGGAACAAACTGTGATGTCGGTGCTAACTTCTTTTGCTTTTTGACATATTCAAGGCGAGATATAAACAGGACTATATCTGCATACCAATGTATGCATTTGGTCTAGGGAAATAATGGTTTATAACAATCCAAAGAATTAGTTATCCTTTCTCTTTCAGACTTGTTAAACAGTGTCCTGTTCAATTACTGAAGTTGAAGTGTATTCTATTGTTGACCGTTTGTACCTAATTATCTTTGAGGCTAGAATTCCATTGTACATGGATTAAAAGCAATCAAACAGGTTACTAGAATTCATACTGACATGAAAGCAAGTTTAATGACAACGTAATTAAGTCATGATGTATGAGGCAGTCATTCATCCAGTTGAATTTGTTGCATTTTGTAAGCTGTCAGTTCATTTCTTTAATCCCAATTCCCTTATACTCTTGGCTTCCAAGTAATCACTTATCTCCCTTTTAAATATCTTGCTCGATTCTGTAATTAGGATCCTCTGGGGCAAAGCAACTTCTCCCAATTGTGTGGAAATTTCTTCTTTGCTTGATCACAAGACTAAATGTTTGTACTTGTGAAAGATATGATTTTTAAAACATTCAACTGGTTTGAACGGTTGCAAACTGAATTGAGACAAGGTGGATTGCTTAAAAATATAAGGTCACCTCAAGGTCAAGGAAAGAAAACAAAAGAATCAGCTTCAGGAACAAACATGGAAGAAGTGTCAAGGAGCTGACCACTTGAAAATAACTGAACTCCTCAGCCTCAGGTTTAAACATTAATGTCTCAAAAGCTGAGGAACTCTAAACTGTGTAATCTTTTATCTTTCTTAATAGTGAACATTACTATCCCCTTTAACTCTTTGTTTGTGTAAAAGTACACATATTGAGAAGGTCCAAGTGACTGCAGGAGAGCCATATGCTTGATGTCACAGCTTTATTATTTTTCCTGGTGTTAGCATGCAGTAAAAATTGCTCTTTCACTCAAGAAAACCCTGTGATTGGTCCCTTATTTCTTACAGTAAAAACAGTTAACTACATTTTAACGCATGTCTAAACCTAATTTAAACCTTTGTTGTGACCAATTGAAGCTAAAAAGAAGGGAATCCAATGTGCATGCTCCTTCTCACCTAGTCATAACAGGTTTTAGATGCTTTGGCTTGAATTGCAAGAAGAGATTTCTTGCTGTGGAACAAACCATTGACTTTCACAGATGTGAAAAATTCAGGTTGGGTTCCTGACAGGGTAAACATTGAACAAAATTTTTTTTTTTTCCTCTTTCACTTACATGGAAAACACCTTTGGTAAAATGCTCACGCAAGAAGCCAGCTTCTTCTCCACAATGGTCCTAGGGAGGGAGGTCAAAAAATATTCATTATCAAATCAACTGAGCCCACTTCTATGTTTGAAGGATAATCAATAATTTATACCTCATTTTATTATTGTAGTAGTTGCCCTTTATCATCTTTAAAATGTCTCCAGAACTGGATATGCTCAATTCAACATGTTACCATGACAACCCAGATAGTGGTAGCAAAGCAAGATTCTATTTTCTGTTCTCACACAATTTAATTAGTAGAATGGCAGTTCATCTGCATTTTGTTTAAAAGTCTATGCAACTTGACAAATTCATGCTACCCTTTCGCATTGGCCAGTTTCTACTTCCTCTATCTACTTGTGCAGTTTAATGTGAAAAGCAGCCAAACAAAGAACATTTTAACATACTAAATAATGATGAGAAAAGATGTTGCTTGGAGGGGTGACTGATGGAAAAGTGTCATTGATGTCACCAACCAATTGCACCATCTGTGAGATTATTCACTAGGTTCCATTTTGAAGTAGAGAACGGATCTTGAAATCTCATAGCAAAATGATGTTTCAGCTATAGACGGAAGAGAGTGTTCAAACAAGGCTCGAAGTCCTATCAAACTAAGCCTGGATATACCCACGTTACCCAAATGGTCATAAAGCACTCTGCTCAATTCAGAGAGCAATGTGTTTCCACCCCACAAATCTCCGCATTCAAAGGATTATCTTCTGCCATTATTAGAAATTTAGTTAAGTCCATCACGAGTAAGTACAGAGCTACAAACTGAGTAAGTATTTATTGGGAATAAATGTCACCTCTTGTTCATTAGACCTGTCCTCATTTGTTCAATTTTCATGAGCTTTTGACAGGTAGAAGAATACATCGAGGACCTGAGTGGAGAGGACAAGCTATTGAGCATCTCCTAAGCAATTCAGATTAAACTATTGCTAATGAACAAGGCAGAATTTGAACTATGATGAGAGAGATTTTGAAGTCAAATGAAGTACAGTAATCAAAAGTGAGTAAAAGAAAGATTGCATATGAGATATGGTAATGAAAAATGGACCAGTCGGTCATTCCATTTCATGCTAGTTATTGTGCTGCACTCAAACCACCTGCCACCTTACCTCGAAATCCACCACACAACCCTCAATTTCTTTCACCCCAAAAATCCTCATCTCACATCCATGTAAAGACATCTAGACTATTTGCTTGGTAGCAGGTTTTATGTTGTTACCATTTTTTGGGGTAAAGACTTTTTTTCTTGAACTCCTATTTGTTTGTTTAGTGATGCTTTTGTATTGATTGGCACCAGTTATGCTGCTCCCCTACAAAGAAAACTCCCTCTCTGTATACGCTCTATCAAAACCCTTCATTAGTTTTTAGATAACTCTATTAGGTTTTCCTTTCACAGGAGGAAAGACCCAATCAATCCTTTCTAGGGATTTTTATAATCTCATCCTTGTGAATCCTCTGAACACCATCTATAATCTTTTATAATATGGTGACCAGAACGGCATGCAAGACAAGTCTGATACAACTAAAATACAATATAAATTCAAATAACTTCCCTTCTTTGAATTTCACCTGTTTAGAACTACAACCTAGTACTTGGTTTACTTTTGTTATGGCTTTCCTAACCTATGGCATAACTTACAGTGAGTACTTGTACTCGAGTTCCCTTTGTTCCTCTACAAGTATTAATCGTGCTTCCTACTAAAAGAAGGATTAAGTGGGAGAGAAAAAAAGGGTTACAAAAATTTTTTTTTTTTAATAAGTATAAAATAATCAAAATCTGAAGGAATGAAGATCTACACTTGTAAAGGTATATTTTCAGTGTTAAAGATTGTCATGCCATTAAAGAGCTTACGTACGCTCACCACAGATTGTTAGGGCATACCTGTTTCAGTTTAAGTGCAGGAACTTCACACTTTTCAATACATTTGATTGGTGCATCAACACAGATGTTGTTTTGCTCTGTAAACTGTACTAAAAGGTGACCTTTGGACTTCTGGATTTTTGCCTTTAACTGTACGTATTTGCTATCCTGAACTTGTTACCAACCTTCCCACCAAAAAAAAACTGAAGTGCCATTAGCGTAGCCGTTATTTGGTAGTAAATTATGGTATTTTATTATTTAAAACCTACATGAAACTAATATGGGTGTAATTTCAGTACTTCACTCAAAAATTAAACAAAGCGCTTAGTGAACTAGTTGTACTTGTAACTGATTTATTTGGGTGGTCAGTGGAGCCTTAAAGCAATCAAGAAATTTAAAACTGGGGAGTATCCACTTCAGAACAAAGTATTATTCAGCTGTTAGGATCCATCAGTTCTAGATATCCATGGAATCAACAGTTTTTAAAAGAATAACTGGACCTACCATCTGTTTACAATATACCTTTATAACGTTTGTGGTCCAAAACAATTGACACTGTCAATTGTTTAAGAAAATTTCTGCTTTTTATTCCTGACATTAGTGGACAGAGTGGGGACACTGATGCCTCCAAGTACACCTCCAAACCAGACCCCACCCTGATTTGATATGACAAAAAAAAAAAAAAAATCACTGTTCCTTCCCCGTTGCCGAGTCAAAATCATGACATTCCCTTTCTGACAGCACAGAGAGAGCACCTGCTCATATCAACTTCTGCAGATAAAGAACACATGCAAGACAGAATTTCAAAACTGCAGATGAAACAAAAAAAAACCTTAGGGTTGTGAACTGGGAGGAGAGATAGTGGTGACTTTGAAAGGACATATTCAGACTGGTGGAATAGGCAGACACATTTCAGATGAAATTTAACGTGGAGAAGTATGAATGGTACATTTTGGTAGGAAGAATGCAAGACAGGCAACATAATATGAAACAAAGGAAGCCATTTTAAACGGGGTGTAGGAGCAGAGGGACTAGAGGATATATGCACACAAGTGTTGAAGGTGGCAAGGCAGGATGAGAAATGGCTGAAAAAAAAAAAAGCACATGGACTCCTGGTCTCTAAACATAGGTACATAGCTTACAAAAGCAAGAATGTTATGGAAACACTGGTCCAGCCTGAACTGGAGTATTATGTTGAATTCTGGGCACCAAATGGTTAGAAGAATGTGAAGGTATTAGGAGAAGCTGCAGAAGAGATTTACTGGCAGAGTTCCAGGGTTGAGGGACCTACAAAGGATAGGCTGGAGACATTGGGGCTGTTCTCCAAAGAGAAGGTTGAGACATTATTTGATCAAAGCATTCAAAATCTTGAGGATTCTGGACAGAGAATAATCAGGAAGAAATGTTCCATTAAGGGTCAAGAAGCCAAGGTCACTGGTTTGGGCAGCAGCAAGAGACCCAAAAGGGGATATGAGGAAAAATAAATAACTTTAATACAACAATTGCTAAGAACGTGAGATGCACTGCTGGGAAGACTAGGATGGATAGCTTCAGTCACAGCTTTCTCAAAAGGAATGGATAATTATCTGAATTGAATATATTGGATGGGCTTTAGGTAAATGGTAAGGATATGTGACTAGCTGAGTTGTCCTTACAGAACGCCACTACAGGCCTGGACCCCTCCAGTGTTATGACCATTCCATGCCCGCGGCTACAGATCCCCAGGAGGTAACGAACACACTTATCTCACTAAAGACTACAGGTAATCTCTCTTGCCTATGTATTCTATGTTTAGTTGTGTTTAATTTATACGTGATATTTGGTTCAGTTATTAAGCAATTCACTAAAATACATAGTACAGATGGAATATGATGAGATCTAAAGTCAACTTCAAAGTCCTATTAGATACATGAAGTTTGTGGCTGGATTATGAATGAAATTAAACCCCTCGTCCCAACCTGGAAAGTGTATATGCATAATTAATAAGATTCAAGTTGCAAAAGATCAACTAGGTCAGTTGAACTACAGCATGATCTACAGACTCATCTTCAAACATTCAGTCAGGCTGCAACTAACAGGAAGATTTGCTTCAGCAGTGCAATTAGCCACACAGTGTTGCTTCAATAAGTCCAAAATTAGTGCAGCCTCTTCAAGAATGCAATCAGGTTGATGCTGGAGCCTTAATTTGGTTACCCTTTTCTTGGGGACTAAATGGGTTGGAACTTTAAGTGAGGATGTAATAAGGTTTTGTTGTAAATATGCCCATCAATACTCATTGTTGAGGTTCTCAAGGTTGGCCATATAGGTGAAGTAAGATGCACTGGGAGTCACAATCCAAAATTAGACTTTCAGATGAGAGCAGAAAAATAAGGGAAAAACATTTTGAAAAATGTATTGAAATACAGCATTAGCAAATTCAGAGAATTTAAGATAGAACTGTGTTATTGCAGGAATTATCTAAAACATTTCTACAGATGATCAATGTGAGAAATTTCAATTCTGATGCGGTGTTTTTTTTATTCCAACCAAACCTCTGGGAAGACAGGTGTGGAATACAACTAAATCTTCAATCCTTTTCAAATTAGATGCTTATAAAATCATAAGTTCCTGTTAAACTTCTTAGTTCATCAATGGGGAATTAAATGAACATAAGCTGTTAGTGATCCATGTTTCTGAAAGACTATAAAATGAAAGCAGTAACTATAACTTTTGTAATCATAATAATTCTGAAATATTTTACATGGTACATTGTGATTTAATGGAAATTCATGATTCTGCCAGAATTTCAATTATTGAAAGGACAACAAAGGTTGGAAGATGCAGGGTACATAAGCAAAATATTAGTCATTTCTTCCTTTTCCTAATACTGGCTGGCATATGTCTAGATTCAATTGATTCTAGTAATTTTATTTTGTGGAATAATAATTTCATTGCTCTGAGTGAATTCAGGTAATGAATTGAAACATAATGCTAGTAACTAAATTATTTATTTTATACCTTGCAATAACTTTGCCAACTTGTTCATTGGGACAGCTGAGAAAAACTACAGAATGCGTTCCAGAAATATAGTTTCCAGTAATGGCTGAGAACAAGTATACAGCAACATTCTTTAGCCCTGGATATAATAACAGGCCCATAACCAGAACCTAAAGACAAAGGAAAGCAGAAAGTCACCGGTTAGTTAATTGTCCAAAGTTTAAAGCAGATGTGAGATCGACACTGTCAGGTTAACAGACAACACTGAAGATTTTCAATTTCACACGGTGATTAGACATACGTTGCTTAAGCTTGTTTCAAGTCTGTCCCTCAATCAAACCTAGACTTGCTTCCAAGATCACCATCTGGAGAAACCCTGAGAATGAATTCTAGGTTACCAGGCAAAAGAATTTAAACCTGCTAACCTGAAATTATAGACAACAAGGTGTAGAGCTGGATGCACACAGCAGGCCAAGCAGCATCAGAGGAGCAAGGAAGGCTGACGTTTTGGGCCTAGACCCTTCTTCAGAACACTCTGCTGTGTTCATCCAGCTCTACACCTTGTTATCTCAGATCGTCTAGCATCTGCAGTTCCTGCTAAACCTGAAATTATATTCTGATTTTGGTAAACTAACTCAACCTAGAGCCAGGGACACCTTTTCTTTGAAAAAAGAAATTGGCAAAGCTTTGAACAACAATACACAATCATTGCCTCTTGCTAAAAATGGTTTAGAACATTTTTAATTGAGGAATATAATTTCATTGAGTCTGTCACTTTCCATCACTTTTGTTTCAAATATTATCTTGGACTCAGCCTATTGCTTTAAGTCAAAGTCTACAAAATGAGAAAGCTAAACTCCAAATGTACATTTAAACATTATGCTTTACATCATCATTAGTACAGATGATGTGGCAGAGCGCCATATTTAATTTGCTGTCCACAGCACAATTTAACACCCATTTTTGCATAAGCTCCAGAGACCGTCAAGTGATCAGACCAGAATTTTCAGATGTATTAACCAGAGGCCAGTTGCTGCTCTCAGTTATTGCTTAGTAAAACCAACACCAATAGTGGCATTTACACATGCACATGTAAGTACAGAATTCTGGAACCTGCTGTCAGAGATATCCTGTGCCACTTTTATAGGATGTGATGGTACAGTTTTCACCAATGGAATTAACAGATTAATTAATTAGTGTTACGGCATGAACTTAAGTTAATTGCCCTTTACATTTCTGCTCTGCAGATTAGATTTTAAAACAAAATCTATTCAGGAAAACCTCACTTTTAACGTTACACTAAATTATATCCTGATGAAAAACCTCTCTGGCCCTGAAGAAACTTAAATGTGGATTCTCATTCCCTCCAGAAAAGAATTAGATGTTGCAAGCATTTAAATAATAAACATGTGTTTAGGTATTTAAGTTTTCCCTTAATCCCATATGGATGGCCCAATCTATTTCACATTCCACAAAATTAAATGCAATTTATATTTGTTTTTTCACTTTCTGCGCTGCCATCCTTGAGGATTTTTCAACCTGACTGATCAGCCTTCCTGATCGTGAACTTCGTGGATCATCTATGGAGAGGGTGTCAAATTTGCATCAACTTCAGAAGGGGACATCCATGCTTTACAGCCAATGAAAACCAAAGAAATGTTTTATTTGAGGTACATGGTGAATAATATTCCTTCACCGTAAAACTCAGTCTGATGTTTCTGAATGGATTTGAACGGTGGGAAATCAAACATAAGAGAGTGTAAAACTGACTCTATTCCATAGTCAGAAATCATGTTTTAAAGAAGCACGTGATCATTTATAACTATGCTTTAAACTTTCTATCCAACTCTGAGGCAAATAGTCAGTCGTCATGTTTATATTTAAACTCTATTAATCATTGCACTTTTTTCAGTCAAATGGTTCCAATTATCATAGTACTACGGCAGAAATAAAGTTTATTGCAATCTCAGCTCACTAATTACAGAGTCGTGTAGTCCAGATTTTGCAGAATTGCCTATTTTGATCTGCATTATCAATTCCCTTCAGCTGCTTTAGATGAACATGCTATCTACATCTGAGCTTGAATCACTGGTGAAAAGCCAAAGACCCCTTAGACAGCATCTTCCAAACCCACGACCAACACCATCTGGAAGGACAAAGGCAGCAGATACATGGGAATACCAACACCTGCAAGTTCCCCCTCCAAGCCACTCATCATCCTGATTTGGTAAAATATCACTGTTCCCTCATATTTGCTGAGTCAACATCTTGGAAACATCAGGTGTACCTACATCCCAAGGCCTGCAGCAGTTCAAGAAGCAGATTTACCATCACCTGCTAGAGGGCACTTAGGATGGGTGATAAATACTGGCATAGTCAGTGAAATTCACATTCCCCAAATGAATAAAAATCATTGAGGTCCCAAAAGAGGGAGCCTTCTGTGATTACATATTGTAGTACTCGTGATCTTGGTTCTGCTACGTAAATGTGTAGCTTTAAGTGAGAAGGTATCAGGAAGAAGTTTTGCTATTTATGCAAATATCTTTATTTCCGCTTCAGTTGAAGACAGCAGATTAATCACTATGTTTGTGGGCCACTGGCAGCTTGAATGAGTCAACAAATAGCACAGAAAGGAGAATCAGCTCCAAGCTGCTTTGGATTTTCTGACTCAGAATTGCCGCGTGATATGGGCTTTTGCTTTAATTTGTGCGAATAAGAATAACTGCCTGGATTTTGATGGCCAGATTATCATTCTTGCAGCATAGATGGGAGTTGTGCATCAGAACATGCAACATAACGTGACAATGACTAAGGAAATTGAAAACTTCCAATGGGCAATTTCCCTGCACCTGGTCGCTCTGAAAACATCGGTTTGAATCAGAAAATTCGGAGAGTTCCACTGCAGTTAATAGTTGCCCAGGAAGAGTTAGAAGATTGAAAGCTTTAGTCTAATTCCTTAGACCATAACACTGTATGAAATAGGAAAAGGAGTAGGCTGTTCGGCCCCTCGAGTCTGTTCTGCTATTTAATAGGATCATGGCTGATCTTTGGCAGCTATTAGATTGATAATTTGGGGAGTGTCATTCTCTCCCCAGTTACACTGTCCCAGAACCCTTAAAACATCCCAGGCCCTAACCCCACAAACCCCATCCCACAACCACCAGACTGATACACTTTCCTCCCTCTGCTTGAACTAACACCAGCGCACCCCTTCACCATGGAACCCGATACTCTGAACACTTGACTTACCTTAAATACACATCTCTTACCTGAAAGAACTGCCCACCTTGCAGTCTGGCACCCTAACCCCACACTTACTCTTTCTCAGGCACTGTCCAATTTTCTGTTCGTGCTGCTGGACACTGAAGTCCCAAGATACAGCAACTATTGCCACGAAAGAGAAAACGTGATTGACTTCCTCCCAATTACCCTGCATTATTAGAGATCATTACCATATCAGGCATGTTCTGCATTTCTGAGGGAGCTGTGATTTGGAATCTGTCTGATTTTTAATGGAGAAAAGTTAAAGCAGTGACATTCTGACAGCGATCAACATTCCTTGGAAAATCCTGCCCAATATGTTCATAAGGCAGAACAATCTGAACAAACTTTGAACATATGGACAATTTGAATGAAGGGTTGAAGCTTTATTTCAAAACAGTTCACAGCAAAGAAACGCTGGCATTGAGGCAGGTGAGTAATTAATTCAGAGTGCAAGTACAGCCAAGAAAAGCACCATACGTACTTGGTAAACATTTAAATACAGTATGGCTGTATAGAGAGCTATTCACAGAGGTGTGAATATAGATCCATGATGTGTGTTTGCTATTGCACTTGAAGATGGACTCATGTCCCTATTACTGCACTTATGGTGGAGACAATGCCTTTAGCTCCCTTGAACTTAAATTTTGGAATTCCCTCGCTAAATCTCTCTAATTTCCTTCCCTTTTCCAGGACATTCCTCATAAACCTCTCTCAATGACCAGGCATTTGACTATATGTTCTGATACTGCGACATGGCTCTATGTCAAATTGGAACATTTTACAATTTTATAAGCACTACATAAATGCAAGCTGTTGCGACATTAAATTGGGCAATTTTCCTGCTATGCCTGATTCCCACCACCCTGTTCTTGGGCAAACTACCAAACCCACGTTGTTCTAGTGGAAGTGAAGAGATATTTGATAGAGTGAGAGTGAGAAAGAGATACAGACAGCCAATGAGTGGATAGATATTCTGGACTATTACCCACCTTCTGTCTATCTCCTACAAGGCATGTTGGGAGAATGGCGTTGGGAGAATGGCAGGATACCCTCACTGGAGTGATGGCATATCAGTGCAGCTTCAACAACTCAAGTTCATCCCCATGCAGTGTCAAGCAGGTCACTTGATCAGCACCCCAACCAGTGACATAAACATCTACACCTTCAGCACTGCATGTCCACTGTGATATGTACTGCAGCAATTGACCAAGTCTATAACAGTAATACCCATCAGGAGGAGAGCAGGGAATGGATGGTAACACTGCTATCTCCAAGTTCTCCTTCACCCATCTTGCTGTTTTGGAAATATAGTGGAAAAATATTTTGCCTCAAAAAGTTTAACGTCCTGAAAATCCCAACTTAACTGTTGGTCAGCAACTCCCTTCTTCCACAAGATCGGCTGCAGCCATTCAAGACGGGAGCCTATTACCACCTTCTCACGGACACCTCAATGCCAGCCTTGTCCACAACCCAGTCACAAATTGCTCCTACGCCAGTGTGTTGAAGTAATGTGCCTGCAGTACATAAGTCAATCACTCCACAGCTACTTCAGGATGAGATCTAGCTGCCAGCTTTCCTACTATGCGAATCGGTTCCCTGTCATCTCCCCTCGCTCGAGACATGGTGACCCTCAGGTTAAATTCGCCAGCACCAGTATCCCTCTGATGAGAGAGGGGAGTCCTCTGTGGTCCTCTAGGACTATGACCTTTACTTTCCACCTACAGTCTCGGTCACGCTCTTTAATTCCATCGCACAGTGTCACTTTATCGCTAGACCTCACCACTTCTCTATTTCCTACTTTCTTCAATCTTCGTGTTGCATTGCAATGTGTAACTTGTCTCTTTTGTTTTGATGACAGGAGATCCTTTGGGGAAAAAATTAAATCATTGCTACAAAATTGTTGTGGTAGACAATTTCAAATCTATTCGTTTTGTTTGTAGCAAGCCGCGATGATATTACTGTCCGTTCAGAAGGACAGCTGCAAACTCACCAAAAGGAGTGTGCTAAACACCGAGCGCAGGGAGCCTTGGAAACGCTGCATGGAACAGCCCGGGTAGTGTACACTCTCTCTCCCCGTGTGTGTGTGTGAGAGAGAGACAGGGAGGGGCACCGAATCAGGAATCGCTGCTGCCTGGGGCCGTAGCTGGAGAATCGGCTGTCACCGAGAGTCAGGTTACCACACCCTACGATAGGATCTGCTCGGTGATTCCTCTTCACTCGATCCCTCTCGCTTTCTCCCAGCCCCCACTTCACTCCGGCTTCGGCCTCTCATCCGCCTTCAAACTCCGGTGACTTTCCACTGTCTCCTGCCTCGCGGCTCGGTTTAATCCCCCCGTCAGGGATCTTCCCCCCACTCCACGACGGTCACCTGGAGATGATCCTTCCCCCGCCGCCAATCACAAAGCAGCCTCACACCCCCAGCCTCTGATTGGTCAGCTTCACATTGGACCTGCTGCAACTCGAGCTGGTCACCTTGAACTTTTGCGAGCTATCGGATAGCGAGTCGGACCAACTCTGACTGGAGAATCCCCTGTAATAATGTTGCCTCACTCTCCTTGAAATGGTTTGTAGTTTATCAGTTTATTTATTCGCATCGATTAACCCAGCACCCACCATTAAAGCTGAACGCTCTGACAGTAATTTGTCTGGTAAAGTATGCCTGGAAATTTCCAGTGATTGGTTAGGGAGAAATTTCAGCCTCTCTGAAGTCTATGTCCTGGGAGCGCTTATGTCGCAGCTCCATATCTATTTTCTCTCCACAGTAGATGCTAATTTATTAGAAGCAGCGTACACTTGTACGGCGCCTTTAACACAGCAAAATACGCCACAGGGTATTTCCCAGTGGCTGGTGTGAGTAAAATGAATATGGAGAGATTAGATTCGATACAGTATGGAGCTGGAGGAACAGAACAGGTCAAACAGCACCAGAGGAGCAGCAAATTCGACGTTTCGCGTCGACACCCTTCATCAGGCCTGGGGTGGAAGAAGGGATCTGGGAAATCAATAGAGGGTGGAGGGGCGGGTCTGGGGGAAGGTAGGTGGGATGGTGATAGGTGGATGCAGGTAGGGGTGGTGCAAATTGGTCAGTGGGATGGGTGGGGCAGATAGGTTAGAAGGAAGATGGACAGGTAGTGTCAGGTCAAAGAGGCGGGGATGAGAGAGAGGATTGGACATGGGATGAGGCTGGGGTTTGGGAGATTTTGAAGCTGAACTCTATATTGAGACCATCGGGCTGTACATTCCTGAGGCAGAACATAAGGTGTTGTTCCTCCAGTTTATGTGTGGCCTTATTGTGACATTGGAGGAGGCCCAGGATGGATATGTTGCAAAGGGAGTGGGAAGGGAAGTTAAAATGGTTGGCAACGGGAAGGTGGTGTTGATTGGAGCGTACAGAGCACAAATGATCCACAAATCGGTCACCGAGTCTGCACTTGGTCTCTCTGATGCAGAGGATACCACATCGGGAGCAATGGATGCAGTGGACCAGGTCGGAGGACATACGGGTGAATCCCTGTCAGATTTGGAAAGTTTGTCTGGGGCTTCAGATGGAGGTGAGAGGGGAGGTGTAGATGTAGCACCTTTTGTGGTTGCAGAGAAAGGTGCCTGGGTGGTAGGGTTAGTGGGGTCTGTGGAGTGGACAAGGGAATCGTGGAGGGAGCGGTCCTTACAGAAAGCAGATAGGGGTGGGGAGAGGAATATCTCTGGTGGTGGGGTCTGATTGCAGGTGGCTAAAGTGGCGGAGGATGATGCATTGGAGGTTGGTGGGGTTGTATGTGAGGACTGGGGGATTCAATCCTTATTGTTGTTGGGGGAGGGGTTTTGAGAGCAGAAGTGCGGGAAATGCAGGAGATGCGGTTGAGTGCATTATGAATCACAGGAGAGGGGAAGGTAAAGTCCTCGAAGTAGGAGGACATCTGGGATGTCCGGGAGTGGAACACTTCATCCCGGGAACAGATGCAGCGGAGGCGGAAGAATCGGGAGTATGGGATTGCATTTTGCAAGAGGGTGGGTGAGAGGAGGTGTAATCAAGGTAGCTATGGGAGTTGTAGGTTTGAAATAGATGTTGGTGCTGAGTCGGTTGCTGAAGATGGAGACAGAGAGGTCCAGGGAGGGGAGGGAGGTGTCAGAGATGATCCAGGTGAATTTGAGGTCGGAGTAAAAGGTGTTGGTGAAGTGGATGAACTGTTTGAGCTCCTCATGGGAGTACGAGGCAGCATCTTTACAGTAATCAATGTAGCAGAGGAAGAGGTGAGAGATTGTGCCAGTGTAACTGTGGAAGAAGGACTGTTCCACGTATCCTGCAGTTCTTGCTATCTCCTAGTGGAGAGCTTAGAATTAGGCAATATAACTAACTGGCCTAGCAAAGTGGGAATGCACTGGTGAAAAAAAAAGTCACTATTTGAGTTAAATATTTTGGAATGGTGAGTAAATTCTGTTGTTGGTAAAAGTGTAACACTCCAATAGCAAAGTTCAATGTTCATACCTATAGTTTGTTTCTTATCTCTCTGGTACTATTGTGTTAGTTGGAACATTGTTCTGAATCAGATTATTATGGGCTGAAATTGATCTTGACTAACACCATTGAATAGACAACTGCAAATCAGCTACTTTTATACTTTGCCCAAATTTTCTTTTGTAAGTTGAAATCTCAACTAATTTGGTGCAACGTAAGTTGAATTTCTTTCTTACTGTTGCAGTAGTTCAGGTGAAAATTTATCATTCATTAGAAAGTGGTACTCCTAGTAGTCTGTTTAACATTCCTCCTGTAGCCAATGCCATCTCAAACAAATTAATCAATTCGTATTTCTTACTATGTGTAAAATGACTGCCTGTACAACATTACACATCAAATTCTTTGTGATGTAATTTACAATATTTCTGAGGGATGCCAACATGGTGCTGTATTAATACAATTTTTTTTTATTCTACACATAACAATTGACTGCAGTTATAAGTTCTATATGTATGTAAATGAAAATTTCAGTAACTTCCTTAAAAATATTTGTTAATTTGCAGGCTATTCAATGTTTTGAACATGGTAGAGCATCACACAACCGGGTTCTGTATAAATATTGAAACTGATATGTGACATTTACATGGCCATTCATCTCTCTCATTTACAAATAGTTTCAACTCCTTCTCATAAATCTCTGAAACAATTTAAAGTTGAGCAGGTTTGAAAATATATGGATTTCCAACAGAATTCATGATGTAGAAAATAAAGTATTGCTTTTGGTCAAAATTGTATAACGTTTAAACAAAGTTGATCAAAATTTAAGAGAGTGGAGCGGGCAAGGTAAGCTTTAATATCATCCGTTTTAGTATATCTTAGAACACTTTAGAAATGCCGATTTAAGATGAGTTGTTTATTTGCATGGTGGTGTACTACAAGAAGAGTATGGTCATCAGGGAGACACGAATGGAGCGATAATCTCATTGGACTACTAATCCAGAGACCTGGACTACTACTCTGAGGACGTGAGTCAAATTTGCTGTGGCAGCTAATTAATTTAAATTCAATGAATTAGTAAAAGTGGAAGATCTATCTGGCTGTGCATTCTTTTTCAAGAAAGAAAATCTGATGTTCTTACTGTTACGTTGGTAGATGAGAAGCCCAATTTTTTTTTAGACATTTTTTATTTGTAATTCCAAAATGTGCTTTTTTTAAAGAGAGGACTGCTACAGATAGGAAAAAAAGATATGAATTCAGTGATTGTTTGGCAAAGTCCTATGTGAAACCAATGGAATGTTGCACCTGTAAAATGTCAAGGAAACTTCAAACAAGGAGAGACTCAACAAGATGATATAACTAGGGGCTGACAATTTCAGCAAAAAGCCTTCTCTTGCAGATATGTCTCCAGGAATATATAAAAGTCAGGGTTAAAGTCTGACCGTAACATGAGTCTGTGTGTGAATGTTATTGGCCAGATGTCCTACTGAGTAGGCTGAATCATTGTAAGAGCCACAGCTTTAATAATGGCCCTTTTAACTATCCTGCATTGCTGGTAACAAAAAGGGAAAGACTTTGTCTCAGTCTGAATGCTGGACTTCAGACACTCTCGTAAGGAATCGGAACAACAGAATTTCTACCAACCTGCAAAACCAAGTTTCTCAAAGTTGACTGTCAGTCTACTCAACAGTCAACACTACTACTGCCATCCACCACTAGCTACCACATCATCTATGTGTTCTTCATGAACAATTATGAAATATTAATGAGCTATTTCCACTAGAACTCAGGGGCATTGTCTAAGAATTAGTGTTAGCCCGTTCAGGAGAGTGTTTGGAAGCACTTCTACACATAAAGGGTGGTAGATATTTGGAACTCTGTCCACAACCAGCAGTGGGTGCTGGATCAGTTGTTAGTTATAAATCTGAGATAGGTAAAGTTTTATTAGGCAAACGTATAAGGATTACAGGTATATGGAGTTAGGCCACACATCAGCCATAATTTTATACAATGGTGGACGGGGCTCCAGAGGCTGAATGGCCTACTCCTGTTCTTCTGTTCCCAATCAGAGGCTCTGTGGTTATTTTTTCCCATTTTTACCTTTTTGGACTTGCCTTTTATTTCACAAGTTTTTGCACACGTGTGTTTATTATTTCTTCTCGTATTTGGTAATTAATAAACTCACTCTTTTGGTCAATTCAAGAAAGCTTGGTTAAATTGTCTGCTTTTAAAACACAAGTTCTTTGGAGTCTGGGAGAAAGGTATCCGAAAATAAGGGATCCTTTTTAAATTAACCTTGTTGTGGCCAACTGAGAGGGTGGATAAATAAAGAGGCAGAGCCAGTTCATCCTTCCTCACCCAGGAGTTTAGGGATTTGGGGTATCCTGTCTGGAACTGTAACAAATTGGGGAACCTCACTTGGAGTCTGTTTCGAACATGATCTGTATCTGTCTTCTTGGTGATTATGGACCAACTACCTCCCAAACTGTCCTTCCATGCGACTATCCCCTACTTCATAGCAATTAGGAATGGGTAGCGAACGCTGTTCTTGCTGTTAACATCACATCACATCAAAGAATTAAATAATAATATATTTGGTGCTTCAAACTCATTGCTTGTGTATATGGAAACGTCAAAGTGGGTACAAGAAAATAAAATAGTGTATGTGTGTGTGTAGGTTGAGGTGGTTCCTAGAAGGCATAAATGGATAGAATAAGCAGTCACTTCCATCATTTAATTCCCATTCTTGTTTTCCGAGGCAAAAATGTCAGAAAAGCTATAAAAGTAGTTAGGGTGTCACTGGATTTTATCTTTGTTTATGTTCTGAGCCCATTCTTCCAGGGAATTATATGTTACTATAAGGTCGCCTCTCATTCTTTTAAACTCCAATTGGCATGGCCCCAATAAGAAGCAACCATAGTCTAGAAACCATTTAGTTGCCAAGACATTTGGACAGGTAGATGGATAGGAAAGGTTTAGAGGGATATTGATCAAACAGAGGCAAATAGGACTAGTTTAATTTGGGAAACCTGGTCGGCATGGATAAGTTGGACTGAAAGGTCTGTTTCCGTGCTCTATGACTCTAAGTTAAACCATTTT